GAACGTCTGGCCATGGAAGAGGAGTACGGGAAAATGTTTACGAAGAGTATAAACAGGGTATGTTTTTTTCTGCGATAAAACCTTGAACTTTTTTGACAATCACTGAACTGATAACTTTTTGCTAACGGGAAACTACCGAGAACTACTTCTGCTCCACCATTACGTTATGATTAGAGGCTACTCTCTAAACACTGCCTTCGGTACCATTACAGACAAGCAAAAATATGCTATCGACGGCCGAAAAATGACGAAATTTTGCCATCAAATTCAACCTTTGCCCCGCGAAGAATGCATCTTGAGGAGATCCGATGCATTTGATAAAATTTCTGAAAGCAACCATAATCTATCTGAACTGTTAAAAAAGTTGGTTTTTATCGGCCTTCTCAAAGCTTGCGCTCAAGATAATTTATGGCGTTGCCAAGCAAGATAGCGTAATTATTTTCTTGGCATCAACTCCTATCCGCCTATATATCATCTTCTTGCTCACTGCGGCTTTTTCTGCTCACTGCTAGTGTCTTCCAAACCTGTGCGTATGTACTGGCAATGGGGAAATTTCTTTGAGTATAATATGTAGTTCAAAATTGAGCCAAATTGATATCGAAGATAAGCCGCATAATTTGGCTTGGAAGTCACCCCCGGAAAGAATTATATTAAAAATCCATGGAATTTCGATGGGACCGTCCATATATGGCCGGTAGTATACTATTCCTGTGATTCCTGCAATTCCTGCGATTCCTGTGATTCGTACTGGTCCTCTAATAATCTATAATGCGAAAAAACAATGTGTACTGAAATTCGCAAAGCGCTCCGTTTTGCGGCACATCGGAAGTCGAGGAATCACAGGAATTGCAGGAATTACAGGAAATGCGGGAATCACTTCCTGATAGTATGGCCGGTCCCTTAGAGGTGAAATGTTTCACTTTTTTGAGACTTCATATCACCATTAGCGTAGGCACAGTGCAATTGATCATGTATGTTGGATATTTGTAGTTTGCAACTGAATGGTGCCCGCACTCTTTGCATATTACGCATATGAATTTTTTTCTATGGCCTAGTTAGCTCAGACTTCAGGTTACCACATTCGTAACAAATAACTCAAGCTTGGAGTGTGGTTGGACCCTCGCCAAAGGAACTATAGAACTTCTTGCTGAGATTCATGTTATGCTGGTAAAGAACCTCCAGGTATGTGTGGATTATAAAGATGATTTTGATTTTCGTTCAGAAGATAGATCTTTTAGGACCTTGCTAAGGAAATAGCGAAGTATAAAGAAGATTTGACTAGAGCTCGAAAAGAAGCAAAACAACAAGATATTATCGATGCAGTGAATCTCATGCAGACAACAACGACTTGCTTGCAAAAGGTGACATCATGGAGTCAATCTGTTTTCTCATTTGCTTATCATCCGATTTTTTTACATTTAGTCTAAAGAGACATATTTCGCCCGTTGTGCCGAGTTGGAGAAATTGAAAAAAGAATCGAACGTCAATCAAAAGGAGATTGGGAAGGTAGCTGATTTTGATACTTTTATAGTTTTTCTTTTTTCTACTGCTTGATCGCTCTTGCACTAATGCATATTTACAACTTCTGGTTTAGATGGAGATGAAAATGTTCAAATCAAAAGAGGAGTATCGTGGTTACGTCGAAAAATACGAGATGGTGAGGAAAGATTTCGAAGAGAAAATGGAGAGGGCATGCAAGTTTTTCCAAGCACATGACAGGTTTGTTCTTCATATTTATCATCCTGTCATTCAAATTTCCTTTTTTGCTACATTTGTAAGCTTTTATAGGTCTCACTTCGCAGCTCTACAACAATTTTTGCTTCTTTATGCGGCACACCATCAAGAAGCGGCCATAGCTGCGCAACAGGTAAGCGTTTCGTAGTATTTAATAGACAAAAGGGCAACAGTTCCCTTAAAGGCAGTGTCCGGACTAGGTTGGGGGTTTTGGGA